CTTTCTCCTAAGAACTGAGAGTTCATTCTGATTGCATCAAAGAACTGGCAAACTTTTAAAAATAAAAGGCCCGTTACTATTATCATTAAAAATAAACAAACGTATATTGTCACATGTATTCCATTGTATACCACATTTTGTTTATCTATTCATCCACTCATGCGCATTTGCGTTGTTTCCACCTTTTGGCTATTGGGAGCAGGACTACAAGTTTTTGTTCAAACACCTAAATTCTTTCGGGCAAATACGTAGGAATAGAATTACTGGGCCATATTGTAATTCTATGTTTAATGTATTGAGGACCACTAAACTGTTTTCCACTGCAGCCACACCATTATGAACCTTTAGTAACTTATCAGGGTTCCAATTTCTCTACATCCTCACCAACACTTGTTTTCTGTTTTTCGGAGTTTTTAAACATGGCTGTCCTAGTGGGTGTGAAATGGTGTCTCCCCGTGGTTTGGATTTGCATTTCTCTGATGACGAATGATGTTGAGCGTCTTTTTAAGTGCCTTTTGTTTCGGAGAAATGTCTGTTCAAGTCCTTTGCCTATTTTCTAATTGAGTTGTCTTTTTTGTTGTTGAGTTGTAAGAATTCTTTGAATATTGCAGATACTAGACCCTTATCTGATATATGATTTTCAAATATTTTTTCCCATTCTGTGGGTTATCTTTCCACTCTCTTGACAGTGTCCTTTGATGCACACAATTTTTGTGTGTGTGTGTGAGGAAGATTGTTGCTGAGCTAACATCTACATCTATGCCAATCTTCCTTTATTTTGTATGTATCCCGGGATGCTGCCACAGCATGGCTTGATGAGTGGTGTGTAGGGCCACACCTGGGATCTGAACTGGCAAACCCTGGACTGCTGAAGCAGAACATGCAAATTTAACCATTATGCCATGGGGCTGGCCCAAAAAGTTTTAAATTTGGATGAAGTCCAATTTATCTTTTGTTTCTTGCTTGTGCTTTTGGTGTCAAATCTGGAATCCACTGTCAAATCCAAGGTCATGCAGATTTATCTGTTTTCTTCTAAGAGTTTCATGGTTTTGCTCTTATATTTAGGTCTTTGATCCATTTTGAGTTAACTTCTGTATTTGTATGAGGTAAGGATCCAACTTTTGTTCTTTTACATGTGGATATTCTGGTGTCCCAGCACCATTTGTTCAAGAGATTATTCCTTCCCCATTGAATAGTCTTGGCCTTCTTGTACAAAATCAATTGCCCATGAATGTAGGGGTTTATTTCTGGACTCTCAATTCTATCCCACTGATCTATACTTTTAGTCTTATGCCAGTAGCACAGAGTCTTGATTACAGAAGCTTTGTAGTAAGGTTTTTTTGTTTTTGGGGGGTTTTTTTGGTGAGGAAAATTGGCTCTGAGCTAACATCTGTGGCCAATCTTCCTCTTTTTGCTTGAGGAAGACTGCCCCTGAGCTAACATGGGTGCCAATCTTCTTCTGCTTCATATGTGGGACGCTACAGAGCATGGCTTGATGAATGGTGTATAGGTCTATGCCCAGGCTCCTAACCTGTGAACCCCAGGCCATGAAAGTGGAAAAAGCATGAACTTAACCACTATGCCACCAGGCTGGCCCCTTAGCAAGTTTTGAAATCAGAAGTGTGCATCCTCCAACTTTGTTCTTTTTCATGATTGTTTTGGCTATTTAGGGTCCCTTGGAATTCCACATGAATTTTAAGACCAGTTTTTCCATTTCTGCAAAAAACAGCTCTTGGGATTTTCACAGACTTTACAATAAATTTGTAGATCACGTTGGAGAGTATTGCCATTGCAACAATATTAAGTGGAAGATGACCTGACTTAATTTTAACATCAAAATTATGAGTGCCATTATCAATTTTATTAGGGAAAATGCTATTTTCCTAATTATGTACAGTTGAGGGTAGTACATCTGAATGGAATTTCCCCTTAAACTCATCTAGCAAAATTAATAGAACTACATCACACAAAAGGTTGCAGTGGTAGACAGAAACACAGCATAACCTAGAATGAGTTCTGTACACTTTGACGCATAAAACTTATTTCTCCTCCTGATTTCAACAATTTTGATGCAGCGTAGGAAACAGGATTATACAACAGTAAATACAAGTTTATACGACCAAAGAACTGAAAGGACTGACAACTCTTCCTTTATTCAATGTGCCCTCTCCCCAGCCCCTGCCAAGTTAAATGAGAGGAGCTGGGCAAGTTCTGGTTTTGTGATTTATAACCAAACCACAGACCTGGGACAAGGGCCTTTCATTTCTTCCAGAGAACTGTTTAAAACATTAACTCAGTGCAAGATGCCAAGTTTCCAAAAAGGAAATATTCCAGGAGGGTAAGGAAGTGATAATCATAGCATTTTCAACCTTTGCCTGTTTCCCCTGGACCCAAAAATGATCTATTCCTGTGGGCTTGGAAAACAGAGCCTCTACTTGGAATGACACTCCTTACATTGTGTCTTAATTTTTCCACACACTTCTATGTCCATATCCTCTTTTTCGTTTTTGTTTTGTTTGTTTTTTTGAGGAAGATTAGCCCTGAGCTAACATGAGCAGCCAATCCTCCTCTTTTTTGCTGAGGAAGACTGGCCCTGAGCTAACATCCGTGTCCATCTTCCTCTACTTTATACATGGGACACCTGCCACAGCATGGCTTGCCAAGCAGTGCCATGTCCACATCAGGATCTGGACCGGGGATCCCCGGGCCACTGAAGTGGAACATGTGAACTTAACCACTGTGCCCCTGGGCCGGCTCCATATTTTCTTTTTAATAAACCTTGTAACCTTTATCAAACATAAGACAATCCTGACCTTTTAATATATTAAATATTCCTTCATGTCCCTGAGTTGAGTGTTTGGCAGTGCAGCTCTGTCACAAATGCTGGCAAGGAACATGCAGTATTCCCATCAAAATAACATGGGCCTAATAAATATTGTTTCTGGACATTGTTGTACAGAGTTCATTGACCTCCCCGCCTTCCAAGGACACTGGGCCTGGGCCCTGCACAAAATAATGTGTCTGGGGTCAAAGATGGCCACTTCAGCCCTGACTCTAAGGCACAAGTTACAAAGAATATGTCCTGCGTCATGTTCCTTGTCTAGGCTGGCCACCCCGACGGGCACCTGACAGGACTTTAGAAACATCCCATCCGTGGGAACAAGAAGAAATAACTCAAAGTATCCAAATGTCTGAAACCATGAGTCAGAACCTAGAGAAAGCTTAGGATAAAAGGGAGTCACAGGCATAGAACAAGTGGAAGTCTCACTGAGGAAAGGACGCTTTGCCTCAGACCCAGACAATCTGCACTCCCACCCACCGTACATACCATTAGGACTTGCCCAGCTGATTGTGGTGTGGATGTTGTAAGTACCAATTTGTTGTCCTTCGTCCCTGTTCTTGTTCTGTTTCACTCTATCAATAAACTTTGATTGCTTAAACAACCAAGTAGCCTTGGCGGTACCTGTCATTCCTTGCCCTTTGCGGCTATGGGCAACAACTGTTCCTCAGCTTAGCCACATTGGGTGACTCTTGCCTAATTCCAGTGGAAGAGTGTGAGCCTCAGAGGTTCTGCTGGAGAGAAGTCACAAGAGGGTCCAGGTCAAGAGGGCCCCCATGGTTCACCTTGGGCCAAAGAGAAAGCTGTCCCAGATCTTTGCTCCTGGAAGGGAGGAATCATGTCTAACTCTAAATCCCAATCAGCCCTCACCCAGGTTTTGGCATCTCTTTCACACCCAGCCCGCAGGATTCGCTCAGTAGGTGTGGCTTAAATGTAGTGACCATCAGTCTCCAATCTAGAGACCATCAAAATCACCCGTGAAACTTTCAAAAGACACAGGTTGGAAACCCTGCCCAAAAGTTATTCAGCATGTGTAAGAGTGGTGTCCAAGTACTTTAGTTTAAAATATTCCACAGGTAATTCAGTTGAGAATCTAGGGTTTAAGAAACATCCCCTTCTTTAAACTACACTCAACTAACTCATTTTGCTTAAACAAATAATATGGCCAGATTTTTTTTTAGTTGGGTTGGGGGGGTGGGAAGGGCTTCTTCTCCGAGCCTCTAAGAGAATTAAGTCCAAAATTGGGCTGGGGCCCTTCATTTTCAATCGGACTGGATAAAAATAAGCACCACCTTCACAACCGTCCTTCTCAGGCACAGTATATACCTGTGCCTTCACAGTTCACATACCTTCAAAATCATGCACCATGTCCCTGTGCATTAATCATGGGGGCTTTTCCCTGTATTTTATGATGTTTTGACATCTTAAAAAGCCTGCTAGTGGGTAGAGACTGCCCTTCCCAGGGCTAGCTAATTCCTAAAGATAGTAATCAATTTACGTGGGAGCAGACTCTCATACGCAAAGCAATCAACTCCTTTATCTCACTTTCACAGACCAAGTCAACACTGCCGCTGCCCTACATAATTCCAGGGTCAGGTATCAGGCAACTAGAGACCACCCCAGAGCCCAAAGCCCACGAGCATTATTCAAACTAGCCAGTCATAAACTGTTTACCTTGCCCTGCCTTGCCTTTCTCAGGAAACAAAGGCTCTGAGCCAGGCTTTCCCCTCGCTCCTGCTTCTGCCTCTGGACCAAAACCTTCCGCGTGTGGCGTGGCATGCCCTTTTCTCTCCGGAAATGTAACAAATTCTTCTTTCAATTGCCTCTTTCAAAAGGCCTCTCCTTGATGTCACCCAGTTACCTCTATAAATTAAAATCCTGCCAGGACAAATGAGGTACCTCAGCCCACCCCTGCATCTGTGCAGCCTACCACTGTGCTGTCTACTTAACTAATCCAATTGGCAACCATATTACAAATTAACTTAGGTTTCCAAAACCAGAGAGCCAGTGCCACCTTCTAACTCCATAGCGGAAAAAGCTCTTGGAAGTTCTATTAGCGTTTGAATCCCAGCACTCAGAACTAAGTGTAGTATGACCCAGGAATGACACTCCTAGGTATATAATCCAAGAGAACGAAAAACACAAAACTTGTACATGAATGTTCACAGCACCATTATTTATAACAGCCAAAAGGCAGAAACAGCTCCAATGTCCATCACCTGAGAAGGGGATAAACAAAACGTGGTATATCCATACAAAGGAATATTATTCAGCTATTATGTAAAGAAATGAAGAATTGATTCACGCTACAACATGGATGAACTTTAAAAACATTACGCTAAATAAAAGCCAGACAGAAAAGGCCACATATTGTATGATACTGTTTACATACAATGTACAGAATAGACAAATCCATAGAAACAGAAAGATTAGCTATTGCCAGGGGATAGAGTAAGGGGGATTGGGGAATGACTGCTAATGGGTACACGGATTTCTATCGGGGGATATAAAATGCTCTGGAATTAGTGATGATGGTTGCAAAACCTTGTGGCTGTACTAAAAACCATCGAATTGTACACTTTAAAAGGGTGAATTTTATATGTGTATTATATCTTAAAAAAACTATATGTACTATCTTCCCTCCAAACTTACTCCTCCTGTGTTCATTATCTCAGTGCTTGGGACCACATTCTACTCAGCTACTCAGGCCAGAAACCTACAAATTGAAACAAATAATTAGGTCACGACCATTCAAACACCCTAACCTCTCTCCACTCCAACTCCCAATTCAGGCCCCCCGTCACTTCTCACCTAGATTATAGCAGCCTCCTAATGGGCCTCCTGGCCACCAGTCTTGTCTCTCCAGGTCAATTTTTACACTGCTACTAGAACCTCCTTTAAAAACAAAATCTTCAAATGTTCCCAATGATCCCCAGGTTGAAGTACCAACCCTTAAAACTGTTACTAAGCAAGGCTTCGCCACCTGATGGGCACAGAAGCTGACACAGTGGCACACCTGCTTTTGAGAAACAAAAGGCTTTAAACATGGTGGACCAGCAAGGAGACAGGAGGCCAAGCTCTCAAATGTCTCTCTCTCTCCCAGGCTGGGGTAGAGTTTAAGGGATTAGGGAGGGCCTGCTGGTATGCAAGGAGGGGCAGGATGAGTTTGATTGGCAGGTCAAAATTTTCTCTTCTGCGCATGCTTGCTGCCCCTGAAAAATAGCTTTAACATTCTGTTGTTCATCAGGGCCACCCCGTCCCATAGTGGTTAAGGTCAGGCGCTCTGCTTCAGCTCCCGGGGGTTCACGCATTGGGATCCTGGGTATGACCTAGCACTGCTCTCAAGCCACGCTGTGGCTGCATCCCACGTACAAAACAGAGGAAGACTGGCGCAGATGTTAGCTCATGGACAATCTTCCTCAGCAGAAGAAAAATAAATCTGTTGTTAAGATGGGATCAGTTATGGGAGGTTACTGGGAACACTACAGTAAACAATGGTAAAGCTGTTATGCAGATTTGTCTTGGCCTTCTCCAATGATAGGAGTTTCAAGAGATGTAGAGTCGCCATCCTCCACCTGGCAGAGACAGGGAGACATCCTTACAAACGGAGATTTCTCTTATAAAGGCAAATTTCCCTTACAAAAGGGTAACTTCTACCAGGTTTTCAGAGCTTTTCCTGTGTTTTCTGTTTCTTAATAACTGTCAGCTCAAAATAGCCCTTATGCCAAAGAGGCATATTTGGGAGTGACAAATTCTGTTCCTGGTCCCGAGTCCCTCAAGTTCCAGCCCGGAGGGGAACCTCTCCAGCTTCACTCTTCCCTCAATCCCCCAACAACGTGCACCAGCCAGGCCGGAGAGCGGGGGATCAGCTCAGCCTCGGCCCGCGCTGGATGACCCTTCCCCACGCAGGTACCGCCCCCCGACCTCCAGGCCTCAACCTTTCGCTGCCATCTCCGGGAGGGAAGCTCTGCCGGCCCCGTCGGGCCGCATCTGGTGCGTCCCCAAACCCCCTCCCTCCGTTTACTCCTCAGCTCCTCAGGCAGGTGTGCTCCGAGGGGGCCGCCATGCAGCCTGCGAGCATTAACTGTATGAGCCGTGGTGGACCCAAACTTCATCTTAAAACTGCGGCGGTGCCCTGAACTCACCCTGACTATCCTCCAACACTTAGACTGTAACCAGGCGCAGCGCGCAGCCGCAGCCACAGGCACAACTCAGACCTGCAGTCACACCGGCCTGCGGCGCGGCGCCCCGCCTCGCCCCTTCCGGAAACGCTCCCCACCGCGAGCCCGCGCCGCGGAGGAGGATGGGAAGCGAGCCTCCCGGACCAATCTGCGCCGGTGCAGACGCAGTTCTCCGCCGGGGGCGCCGGGCGGCGCATGCGCAGGCGCGAGGTTTCCGTTGAGAAGGTGCCGCGGCGGCGCCGGAGGTAGGAGGAGCTGAGCTTTGGGGCTGGGAGTCCGCACCCGGGAGAGGAGATCAGCTACCTCGGGCCTCTCTCGCTCCCCTGAGGGGGAAGAGCCGTCTCGCCTGCCTCAGCCGCGGTGTGGAGGCGGGAGCCGCGCTTGGGTGGAGGGGGCCGGGCCACCTGAAAGGAGGACGGGTGGGGGGTTCCGGATACCCAGGGGGTCACGGCTCGGGGGTCACTCTGGCGATCGGAATTCGCCGTCAGAGTCCTTGACAGCCCTTCTCCCGCTTCCACCTGTGTCACTGGGTTGGGGGGAGCGAGGGTCCGCCCCACACCTGCCCATTCATTCATTCCGCGTCTGCTGTGAGCCCGGCGCCGCGGTAGGTACAAGGCTGAGCAGGCACAAGTCGCCGGCCCTCTGGAAACTTGCAGTGTCGTAGGACCCGCTATTTCCTTCAGCAAATATTGATTGAGCACGTATAAGAGACGGACTGTTGTAAGACTAGAAGCAACAGAGATGCGGAGACAGCGCAGAGTGGAGGGTGGGATTTGCCCTAGCTCTCCACGTCCAACAGGAGAAAGTCAGTTTGCTTAGCCTGACGTTGCAGGCGCTTGGACACTGATCTCTGCTTCTCCCTGCAGCCTTCTCTCCTACCACCACTTTCTTTTTCCTCCGATTGCACCAAACTCTTTGCAGTTAATTAATTCAACAGATAATTGTCGAGCACTTTGTATAAGTCAGGTGCTTTATCAGCCAAAGAGAATACGAAGTAAAATAGATGAGTCTTTGCCCTCCTGAAGTTTTCAGATTAGTAGGGGGCAGATAATAAGTCAATAAATAAAAATATAAGAGCTGATGCCCAGGAACCACACTGCCTGGATTTGATCTCAGCCCTGCCACTTCAAAAGCTGTGTGAACTTGAGCCAGTTCTTCATTCTTGTGCCTGATTCCTTGCTGTAAAGAAGGGGTGATAATATTCTACAGAATAGGGTTGTTGTAAGGATTAAATGAGTTAGATTTATAAAGCAATTGGACCGGTTCTTGGCATTCAGTAAGCATTCAGTAAATGTTACCTATTACATATGATTATAACTTGTGATAAATGCCATTGTGAAAACATTGTGTGATAGTAGAAAGTAATGGGGGTGGAGAGGATCCATTTAGATAAAGGATGAGGGGAAGCTTGTCTAAGGAAGTGACATGGAAGATGAGAATGAGCCAGCCATGCAAAGTAGATTCTAGGCATGTGTGTCTGCCCAGCTCTGGAAAATGAGATGATTAATGGGATTACTTGGACAGTGGAGATGGCGTTATTGTATGTGAAATGAACTTTCTGGCATTGCGTCATTCCATTTTGATTTGTGAATCCCACTAAACTGTGCTAATGTAAATAATCCTGCCCGTAAGGCCCAATCTTTGCATATGGGCAGCATTCTGGTCACCTGAATTTGGAGAGCTCTTGCTGAGGTGAGAGGATGGTGAAAGGTGGCCTTTTTTTGATTTGGAAAAATTGGTTGTATCAATGAAAGATGAGCCTCCTGTGTTCCTATCTTTTGTTTCTTCCTGAGTGTTCAAGTGCATATTCTCTCTCTCTCATTACATTGCCTGCTGATAGAGCCTTTAATAGCTAGAGGCCTTGGACCAGCGTAGGCTTAAGAGATAGTTTATCTGGATTCGGGGGTCATCTTGTTTCTGTGGTGACTGCCTTTCATGGGATTTATTCCCAAGATTTCAGTAAAAACAATACTCTTGCAATATGCACACGTTTCTCTGCCTGTGGAAGAACATACTTTAACAGGTTTCTAGAGCTCTGCCCGCTGTTGTGTTGTGATATCCTGTAGGACAGTGAGTCTGTGTTAACCAGGCTTTACCTGAGTATTTGACAGAGGTATTGATATTCTGAAGACTTTTCCCATGTGTCACAAGCTCTTCCTTCCTGGAAAAAAATGTCATAAAATGACAATATCTGTCTAATTATACTTAGATGCTTTTGGTTTTCCACAGATGTGAAATTAAATGAACCAAACCTACTTTGTCACCATGGAGATCTTGGAGAATCACCTGAGCACCGAGTTCATATCTCTTGTATCTCGGAGGCATCTCCTGGACAACAAAACGTCTCAAATGTGACCTTTGACAGAGGGAAGCTTTAAATGTGCTGTTTGACACAGGCTTAATTTTAAGAAAGACATTTTAAATCATTAGGGAAGGGAAAAGAGTACTTTTTGCTCAATTGTGCAAACTCTCCAGGTATCTCAGTGAGAAGTAGAGAGGAATCCTAATGAAGCTGCAAGTCTGAATGAGGCCCAGCTAGGCTCGTTCTCGGTCCCCAGGTTGACCCTCACTCCTCTGAAGACCAGCCTGAAAGCCTTGAAACCAGTCACATGATGGATGACTCAGACGATGATTTTAAGGAACTCTGTGCCACCTTTTTCCAAAGGGTGAAGAAAAATGGCACCAAAGAAGGGTCAGGGGAAAGGAAGACACAAAAGGCCTCAGATGGCACTCAGACAAGCAAACCGAAAAGGACCAAACCAACTGCTACCAAGAGCAAAACCCTTCAAGGCCCCAGGGAGAGGAAAACTCGATCTGGCAGCCAGGGCCCTAGGACTAAAAAGCAAGGGGCACGCAAGTGTCAGGAGAGAGAACCAGCTCCCCCTGAGGATGGGGAGGGAGGCGTGTGTGCTTCTGCTGTGTTCCAGGAATGTGTGCGGAGCACCCAGTCAGGTAACCAGGCCAGAACCCTGCTGAGAGGAAGCCACAGGAGATTCGTACTGTATTAAACAGGGGTCAGAAAAATGTCTGAAAAAGGCTAGGTAGTAAATTTTTTTGGCTTTGCAGGCCATAAGGTCTGTGCCACAACTCCTCAACTCCCTAGACCATATGTAAGCGAATGGGCTGTGTTCCAACGAAACTTCATTTGCAAAAGCAAGCAGCTAGCCCGAGGACCAGAGTTTGCCAACTCCTGTTTTAAATAATAGTCATAAAAAATATAACCCCTGTGTGAATTTTCTACATGATCATGTTTGGGGCCCTCTGCTCTTTCAGAGTTTCCTATTAATGTTTAGATTATGTAGTTGACATGAATTACACGAATGTGAAAATAATGCTGCTTCTCTTATTTTCTCGAACTCCTTCCAAAGTGGGTAAGTTGCATTGGGCCAGCCAGTTTGGTTAGACTGCTGAAAAGGCTTAAGTCTCAGGAAAATCTTCAGGTCCTTCCTTTCTCCTCCAAACACCTTTTATTCTTTTCTCCCCCCCCCCCCCTTTTTTTTTGTTTAAAGCAGCTCTCTTACCCTGCTGTCTTTGGCGTACTGAACCACATGCTTAGCATACAGACTTCATTCAGAACTGAAAACCAGCCTTGCGTATATAATATAGTACAAGATCTTTGGGCATCTGAGTTCTGTTTCTAAATTTTTCTCACCTTCACTTCCTGATCTTAAATAATACTTTTTACCTAGCATGGTCAGCATGCTCTCCCAGTGGAGTGGCGGTAGAGACTAAGCTCGCAGAGACTGGCGTAAGCTTCAGTAATGTTGCTGAAGTGGCATTGGTCCTTCACACTGCCTTCGAGAGTCCAGTGAAAGCTATGCAGGATTCCCCCAGAAAACCGCACCCGTAAACACCCCTGTGAAATTGACATACAGCTTCAGGGGCTTTGTGGAGCCCCACTGGAGGCCATCTGTGGACACCAAACTAAAGGAGAACTTCTGACCTAGAAAGATAGAAATGTTTGTCATTAATATTTCTTTAACAACGGCTCTTTAGAGATATAATTCACATCCTGTAAAATTCAACCTGTTGAAGTGTACAGTTCAGTGGTTTTAGTATATTTACAGAGTTGTGCAACCATCACCACTACCTCATTTTAGAACACTTTCATCACCCCCAAAATAAACCCTGTGCTCATTAGCAGTCACTCCTCATTCCCCCTCCTGTCACAGATGTTTATGACAGGTATATTTATATTACCACAAACAGTGAGGTTACCAACAGTCAATCCTAGTCACAATTGAGAGTTAAACCAAACTAGTTGGTAAAGTTGAAACTTGGGCCTGACCTGTATCTGGTGGAAGAGTCTTGTTTCTCCAGCTAGAACAAATGCCTATGAATGTTTTTTGCCTTTTTGCCAGAGGCTGCTCCTGACAGCATCTCCCAGCCGCCTCCTTCCTGTCTGACTGCGATTGTGCCAAGTCCCTCCAAACCCCGGACGGCAGAGCTGGTCCTACAGCGAATGCAGCAGTTCAAGAGAGCAGACCCGGAGCGTTTGAAACATGCCTCGGAAGGGAGCTCCCTCAAGGCTGCACTTGAAGAAAACCTCCCAGTGGGCCTTGGAGAGGAGATGATGGCAGGGAACGGTATGCTGGGAGTTTTCTGTCTTCCCAACAGGGATAAGTTCTAACTTTGGAGGAAGGGAGGCAAGAAGGAACCAGCGTTCATTGCGTTCCTGCTGGGGGCGAGCTCTCCGCCTGGGAGTCTGCCTTTGCCACTTCAGTGTATCAAGCCAGAGAACAGAGGGTCCCTTGGGTCATTTCTTACTTAGCTTCTTTGACAAGGTACCTCTTCCTCTTTTTTTTATTTTGGCTTTTAATTATAAAATTTTTCCCATACAGAAAAGTCAAAAAAATATGTTACAATGAACCACCTACATCCTCAACCTAGATTTAAGAATTGTCAACATTTGTCACATATTTTTTAAGTCTCTATAAAGACACATACATTTCTTTTGTACCATTCGAAAGTAAGGTGTAGATCATTATGCTTTGCCCCTAGATTCTCCTACATAATCGCAATGCCGCAGTGCCGTGGTATTGCCTGGCATCTAGTTCATATTAAAATTTCCCCAGTTGTCCCAAGGATAGCTTTTATAAC